GCGCCAGCGGGCGCATGCCGCCGCGAACGGCATCCAGCGCCTGCAAGCAGCGCCGACGCTCCTCTTGCAGCCCTGCTTCCAGGCCACCTCCATCACGACCCTCTGCGTGCGTAGCCCGCCCGCGCGCCCCTTCCAGCGGCTGGGCGGCACGATCTCGTGGAGGTCGATCAGGTAGGCCTCCACCGCCTCGAACCACCCCTGGCAGCCCTCCTTGAGCGCCTGCCCACCTTCAGGGCTCCAGGCCGAGAAGGCACGCTCGAGCGGCGCTGGCCGCACTGGCGGCGGCAGCGGCAGCGGGAAGGCGGCAGGGAAGAGCGCCGCTGCACCTTCGCCGCTGGCCCTACGCCGCGAAGCACCATCTTGAACGGCACGTGGTCCTTCGTCGGCGCCCTCAGCAGCACCTCAGCCACGTCCACAAAGCCCGTGAGGACCCTGCTGACGACCGCGAAGTCGAAGACCTTCGAGCCGCAGGTCGGCTCCTCTGGGCCCACGAGCGCACCGCCTGCGCTGCGCGCCCACTCACGGACGTCCACGGGCTCCATGTTCCAGTCGCCCATCACGACCCACGGCGACTCCAGCTGCCCCACGTATTCGTGCAGCGCTGCCAGGAGCCCGATGTTCTCCTTCGCCCTGCCTATCTTCGTGGTGAAGTAGGCCGAGATGACGCGGCACGGCTCCCTGAACCCCAGGTTCACCTCACACACCTGGAACCGATGGGCAGGGAGCCCTGGCGCGGCGGCGGCCGCCGACGGCCGCAGCGTGGCCGCGGCCACTCCTCCCGAGCTCCCCAGCGGCCCTGGGCCCGTCGGCAGCGCTGCCTGGCCATGCCAGCTGAAGCCGCGCGCCTGCATCCAGCCCGCAGCGCGGGCCATCGCCTGCTTGCCCTTGTGGCGATGCTCTCGGGGGCAGAGCACCGCAGGCAGCCGCCCCTCGTCGTCATGCAGCCACTCGACCAGCGACTGCGCCGAGCCCCACGCGGTGGTGTTGGCCGATACCAGCTCCACCACGTCCGCCGCCCGCGAGCGGCTACCCAGAAGCGGGGCCTGCCACCCGCTGGCGCTTGGCCAGCGCTGCGCGCCAGGCTGCGCGCTGCTGCTCGCCCTCCATGCCCACCTCGTCGAACACGGCGTCGAGCCCGACGAGCTCGGGGCCGAGGTCGAGGTCGCCGACGCGCTTGCGGTCCCCAGGAGGACCATCAGCGCCATCATCACTGCCATCAGCCGCGGGGCGGCCTCCTGCGCCGCGGCGACCCGCTCAGCCGCGGCTGCAGCCGCGCGGGCCCGCTCGGCCGCCGCTGCCTCACGAGCACGGGCGCCGGCGGCGGCGAGCTTCTCCACGAGGTTGCGGGCCTCGGCGGCCATCGCGAGCAGGGCGCCGCCCTCCTCCCCGAACAAGAGGACCCGCTCCCGCTCGGCCTCGAGGCCCTCGAGGCCCTTGAGCAGCACCTTGCCCAGGCAGTCCTCGGCCTCCACAGGCTCGCCCACCTCCATGGGCGACGGCCCCTTGTGCTGCTCCAGGTCAACGCGCTTCCTCGCGCGCACGGCCTCGGCCACCTCCTCCAGCTGGTCGCGCCGCTTCTGGAGGACGTCCGCCTGCTCCGCCACACGGACCGCGACGGCCGCCTGCTCCTCCTGGGCGGCCACCAGCGCAGCCTCAGCACGGCTGGCCTGGCCCTTGATCTTCGCCTCCCTGGCCAGGAGGGCCTGGAGCGACAGCTCGGCCAAGGGTTTTGCTGGCGGCGGCGCGTCCACCACAGGCACCAAGGCCCCGAAGTCCTGGACCAGGGCCGCCGACCAGCCTTCCCTGGGGCCAAAGTGGCGGAGGAGGGCCTGGCGAACCTCCTCGTCCTTGCCGCCGCTGCCGCTGGGCCGTTCCTCCGCCTCCCGCTTGGCCGCGCCCTGCGCCCAGGGCGCCGGCGTGGCCGCGGCGGCGGCAGGCCCTGGCACATCCGAGGCGAAGCGCGTGCGCTTCGCCACGACCTTCTCCTTCCCGTTGGCCTTGGCCTTCGCCTTGGCCTTGTTGATGGCCTCGCCGATCGTGCCAGCGCCGCGTGGCGGCCGCGCCGCCTTGCAGAGCCTGCACTCCGTGCGCCATGCCATGTTGGCGTAGCCAGCAGCACACGAGCGGCACGTCCAGGGGTCGCCACCCTGGCTGGCACCGCGCGTGCCACCTGCAACTCCATTCGCAGGCCGCATTCTAACAACATGTTTTCGCTCGGATGTGCGTTCGCTCAGAGCCTACTTGAGCCAAAATAGCTTGAGCCAAAATGGCTACGGAGGAGGGGGAGGAGGAGGAGGAGGAGGAGGAGGAGGAGGAGGAGTGTCATGAGTGTCATGATCGCCACAGTCTACGTGGCAATGGAGGAGGAGGAGGAGGAGGAGGAGGAAGACGAGGAGGAGGAGGAGGAGGAGGAGGAGGAGGCAGGGCGAGAAGCGAGGAGAAGGAGGAGGGGATTCAAGCTTCAGGGGAGAGGACCACTTGCCAAGACAGGGGGATGTCCACGCGCGGCTGAGTCGGGAGTGTCTGGCGCACGTCTGTGCTCGGCGGCACTTGCCTACGCATGCGCGGGCGACCCCCGAGTCGAGGCGATTCCCCAGAAGTTATATCCAGTAATCTCTTGAATCGTCTCGAAGAAGAATTGCCTGAACACAGTTTTTGTTCCCAGCTCCGCGCGAATTGTCTTGGATCGTCGTGTGCCCCCCTGGCGGCTCCTCCGGCGCCGCCCCTGGTGCGATCCGTGTTCCAGGTACGAGGGTCCAGCGCCGAATCGAGAAATCCGCACGGATCTCCGACCGCGTAGGTTTATGCAGTTGGCGTTATTCTGCAAATGCAGAGCACCACAGTCGGAGTGTATGTTCTTAGTTCTAGTTCTCCGCCACCGTGACCAAGCATGCGTTTGCTAGTTGTGCTTGCATGTAGCGGCCAGTGTGGTGTGGGCTGGAAGCGGGAAGGAATGGGGGCCAACGCGAGGGTACGTTCTTCTATTATTCAAAATTCCCACGTCGTCCAGATGCCGTGGTTTGTTGGGGCGACGTTGTGAAGCCGCCACGTAGATCATCAGTGTTCGGGGCCATAGGCTTGATAATGGGTGTTCAAGTCGCCAGTGGTCATGAAACTCAGACCAGTGTGACGTGAACGCCATTCCATGCAGAAGCAAGCGGCCACGCGACACCAATCGCCATCATGCAATGGGAAGGAGGAGGAAAGGAGGAATAGGGAAGGGGATGGAAAAAGAGGCAAACACTAGCAGGCGCGCCGTGATGAGCGAGATGGAAGAGGATGACGCTTCGAGTACCCGCACCATTCCGTCCAGAACGATGCCCCGGCGAGTTACCTTGATCAGGGAAGTGCAAGAGCAAGCAGTGGAACAAAGAGGGGGGCAGCCGTCAAATTGAAGCTCGGCATGAGCATGAGCAGACACAGGAGTCAACCATAAATGTTTGTGCGGACCTTTCGAAATGGGAGCCTTTTAGCAGCTCATGCTAACCTTGTTGGGGTCATTTGGGATACCCTTGGGCTCGTTTAGGGCCGCCTTGGGGGCCTCGTGTGCCCTCTTGAAGCCATCGTGGAGGCTATCGATCAAAAAACAAGGGCCGCGCGTATCAAACTCTCCCCAACGGAGCCCTCGGAACCGCCTCTTGGGGGCTCTCCTGGGGTGCTCTGTGGGCGCTCTTGGGGCCGCATTGTAGCCATATTGAGGCTTCATATCCCCGTCGGAAGTCAAAAGACGATGATGTCAAAGTCATTGCTTTTGTTCCTTAGGTTGTGGTATCATGTTTGCCTCTCGGGGGTATCCGTGGGAGGCTCCGTGACCACTTGGAGCCGTCTTAGGGAGGTTCGGGGCATCTTGGAAGCATGTTGAAGGTTACCTTGAGCCATCTTCGGCTAGATTGTGCGACACTGGTCGCCACAGTGAGCTACCTGAAATCATCTTGGAGACAGTTCGGCCCTCCAAGTCTCCCAATGATGCAACGATCTGCCAACATCTAACCAACACATTGATAGATGGGGAAGTTTTAATGTCACCCCAACTCCACCCACGTCGGCGCCATTAAAACACACGATTGTAGCAAGTTTGAAGCCTTCTTGGGTCCGCCTTTGGGCTCTCTTAGGCCGTAATAGAGCCGTCTAGACGGAAGCGAGACGGCAAGAGGTTAAACACGAGTGATTTCTTGAGGTGTTTGGAGGACTTTGAGTTCTCGGGTGCGCCCTTGGGAGGCAGCGACGCCACTTGGATCGGTATTGAGGCGGTCTTGGGGGCTCCTGGGATGCATGTTGGAGGCTACGTTGAACCATCCTGGGCTAAATCCTGCCATCTTTGAGGACATCTTGGGCTACAGTCGAAAGGCATAGTAAGGATGGGCAACCTTCCCAAGGGTACCCTTGCATCCTGGCCTCCTCGGTCCATCCTTGGCGACTTTCGTTTGACCGCGCCCCGCTCGAGAAGCTTCGAAACGGCCTTCCAAGGTCATTGCATCCTTGCAGTAGGGGCCCGACCACAAGAAACCTTCCGCAAGAAACCCAACCCTGAGACCCCAGGACGTCCATTAAGTTTTGGTGTGGGAACGCTGCGCTTTCCGCAGCAAAACCCTCGAAACACAAGAAACCCAGGGCACCTTGCAGCCAAACAGGGTGTCTCTTGGCATGAGTCTCCACTGCATCGCGCATCCGTACTACACAGGTCGACTGTATTTGGAACACACGGCGCCCGCGGCGCCCTCCGCACAGGCGCCCGCCGCGCCGCCGCCCGCAGCGGCGCCCCCCGCCGCGGCGGCGCGCGCCGCCGCGGCGGCAGCGCCCCCTGCGGCGGCGGCGCCCCCCGAGGAGCCGCCGCGGCGCCCCCCCCCGCGCCGGCCCCCCCCGCCGCCCAGCCCCCCGCCGTGGCGCCCCCCGCGGCCGCGGCGCCGCCGCCCTCCGCGGCGGCGCCGCCCTCCCGCGGGGCAGCCCGCGGCGCCGCAGCCGCTCGCGCCGCCGCTCGCGCGCGGCCGCCGGCGGCGCGCGCCGGGGGCGCCGCCGGGGGCGCCGCTGGCGGCGCCGCGGGCGCGGCGGCCGAAGCCACAGCTTCGCCAGGCGAGTGGTCTACCCAGACTCAAGCAGTGACGAAGCGTCCTGGCGTGCCTATAGGCCTACCAAACGATGTTCTAAGAGCCTTTCGTGGTGGTTTCCACGAAATATTCTGGAAACGTTTCTGGCCGAGACTGACTTGTTCTAGCACATCAGGTTTATGTTCTAAGAACATTGCTTTTGTTCTTACAACATGTTTTGGGGTTCTACGAACATGTCGTGATAGGCCTATAGAAATGCCGGGACGGTCGGTCCCTGCTCAACAGGCCCTCTCGCGTCGCGAGCAATATCGTGACCGGAGGTTTTTTTCATATTTTCAGCCTCTGGGGCCTTTACCCGGCCTGGGGACCGTCAACAAACTATTTAGGATGAAAATCTAGTTTCGAGGAAGTGGTTCAGACCTCTAGAGGTCGACGTTGTGAAAACATTACGATGTTGGGGGTCTTGGTTGGGTTCCGGTTTCTAGTCATGGTCGGTTCGATGCTTCCATGTGACGCGTCGTCGGATCTCAGGGGACTGCGACCGATGGGGACGGAGAAGGAGGGAGGGCGGAGGAGGGAGGCCGAGGAGGAGCGGTCAGTGCTGGGCCCCGGTGCCGACAAAAACGGATGTGGGGCGAAAAAGTGCCCCCAGGGGAGGGGTCGGGACCTCCTTGGGGTCGCAGATTGAACAAATCACATCGGCAGGCGTCTTGGAACAGACCCCCTTCTGGTGGACAGTTCCTGGGCCTGAGGGGGGGGAGGAGGAGCGACGGGGAAGGAAGGAGGGGACGGAGGGCGGAGGTGGGGAGAAGGAGGAGCAGAAAGGATGGAGAGGGAGGGATGGCACGATGGAGCAGGGGCCGCGATGGAGAGGGAGGGAAGGCACGCACGGAGGACGAGGGCAGGCGGCACGGGATGAGATGCGAACGCTGCAGGCTCTTCCCAGCATGCGGTCTCGCCCAGCCTCGGGCCCCGGGGCCATCACGGATCGATCTCGCCCGAGGAGAAGAATCCGGAGGGGGAAAACACACACAGACACAATTAATCGTCGATCCCCAGGAAAGGATGGGAAACTATGGGAAGTGGGGGGGAAGACGAAAACCCAGAAAATATAGAGAAAAATATGGGAAATCTTTTTATTTGTGTGTATTTTATCTGTGTGTCCCAGGGCCCCATTCAAGGAAGCGCAGAAAGATGGGGTCTGGGGCCCCGCTCTTGATGGAAACGCGGTGGTGCAGTTTTTTTCTCGAGGCGCCGGATCTCAGGGGTCGGCGAGCACGGGGGCGGCCGGGCCCCAAGAAGGGGTCTGGGGCACGGCTCTGAGCTGCCGCTATCTCAGCGCGTCCTGCGCCGAGGTGTCGGTGGTGGCCCTCCGCGCTCCTCTCTGCCAAGACCTCGTGCCCCGGAGCGTGCGCGCGCGAGGCCAGCCCAGAATCGCAGAATCCACAGCAGCAGCAGCAGCATCACCATCATCAGAATCATCATCAATATCAGCATCAGCATCATCATCAGCATCATCATCATCATTATCATCATCATCACCATCATCATCATCATCAGCATCATCAGCATCATCATTATCATCAGCATCATCAGTATCAGCAGCATCAGCATCAGCATTAGCATCATCATCAATACCAGTATCAGCATGAGTCTCCTGATGATCATCATCAGCAGCAGCATCATCATCAGAATCAGCATCAGCATCATCCTCATCTGTATCGTCAGCATCATCATCAGCATCATCGTAATCGTCGTTATGGTAATGAGCATTGCCATCATCGTCACCATGCCATCATCGCCATCGTGATCATCCAGTCCGTCCGTGATCATCGTCAACATCATCATCGCCATTAATATCATCATCGCAATCGTTTTCAGAATCAGCATCACCTTCGTCGTCATCATCATCAGCATCATCATCGCCATCATCCTCAACAATCTAGTCACCAGCATTACCAGCATCATCAGCATCATCAGCATGATCTACATCCTCATCAGCATCAGCATCGTCGTCATCATCATCGTTGTCGTCGTCACCATTATCATCATCAGCAGCAGCATCATCAGCAGCAGCATCAGCATCATCATCGTCGCCGCAGGCCCAGGTGCCGCCCTGCAGCCGACCGCGGGCGGCGTGCCTTGGCAGCCGCGGGTGTACGTCGTGACTGCGACGGGCGCGGGCAGGACCTGTTGGGGGTACGGGCCATCAAGCAGAGGGGCAGGAAGTCATGGTACTGGTATTTCTAGGCCTCCCGAGGTGGGGCTCCGAGTGGATGGCAACGAGGTGGAGGGTCACGCAGCATCGCCGATTCGTCGGCGATGTGGCTCGATGTGGAGCCCGACTTCCTCCACGCCGGCGTCGCGAATGCATCGCCCACGCCGCCAATGCATCGGCGAGACATCGGTGATACGGCGCGATCCTCCGACCCCATCTACTCGGACCCTATCTAGGAAGCCTCTACTGGTACGTTCCAGGATTCCCTGGATTTCCCGGATTTCTGATTGCTCCGCACGGGTTCCAGAAACGAGGTCTGCTAGAATCTCCAGCGTTCTTGTGACGTGTACATATCTTGAGCCACTTGAACCATGACATCATCCTCGACCGATTCAATCGCCATGAGGAGGCAGGCGACTGGAGCGGAGCGGGTCGTTGGGCGTTTCCCCGTTTTGGGGCCGTCCTGGGTTTTCCACGGACCAAGAAGCAATTCAGGAAGACTCAAAGAGAGCCTCCCCGACACCCGCAACTGGCATTTGCTGCCTAGTCCTGCGCGTTTACTGAGTAGCCTTGTCCTGTCCGACGCTTTTCTCGGCGACGAGCGAGGGCGGGAAGAGAGACGGAGAAGGCCTTCTCAGAAGGTTCGGAAGTCACCCGGCCTTCCGAGAAGCTTCCTAAGCCCTCCCGAAAACAGAACATGTTTCAGAAGGTGCGAGGAACTACTGAGAAGTCTCGCCGCCGAATGAGGAGGCCTTCTCCTTCTCGGTTCCCCCCTCGCTCGCCGCGGATTTTCGAAGGCGTGTTTATGAAAGGGCGCGGCTCGTCGGGGATGCGTATCGAGAGGGTCTTTTCCGCACTCGCATTCTACATACACCTGCACCAATCCTGGCCACGCTTGCCTTGGGCCGGTGGTCGGTTCTTACGCCGCGCTGGCCAAGCCAAGAGGGCGCATGCACCGTCGTTGGCGTCGGTGTCGTCGTCGACGTCGTCGTCGTCGTCGTGCGTCGCCGTCGCCGTCGTCGTCGTTGTCGTGTGTCGCCGTCGCCATCGCCGTCGCCGCCGTCGTCATGCGTCGTCGCGCGTCGCCGTCGCCAGCGTCGTCGTTGTCGTCGTCGTCGTGCGTCGTGCTTCGTGCATCGTCGTCGTGCGTCATCGTCGTGCGTCGTGCGTCGTCGTCGTGCGTCGTGCGTCGTCGTCGTCATCGCAGTTGTCGTCGTCGTCGGCCCAGGATGGGTTCGGCCAGGATCGGTGCAGGTGCATAGCGGGCGCCCTCCTCAGGATGGACCTCGCGCTCAGCATTCAGCAGCGCATGGCGGAGTGGCTGGGCCCCCAGGACGTGCTCTCGCACGTCTGCGAGGAGGGGGCCATTTTGGCTCCGCGTCCTCGCTCCTGCCCCTCCTCGCCCTCGTCCCCCCCTCCCCTCTCCTCTCGGCGACGCCCCGCAGGGGGGAGGGAGGGGGGGGGCGAGAGGGGACTGGCCTTCGAAGAAGGCGGTGGAGCTGCTTGAGGGGCAGGGGCCTTCCCAGAAGTGCGCGGGGGGGGTCTGAAGCAGGCGTGTTCGAAGCCGGGCGGGCTTCTGGGAAGCCCCTTCTGTCTTTTCAGAAGCTTCGCCGCCTTCGCAGACTGGTGTCACCCCCTTCGCGCCACCCCATGGTGGGCGCGTGCGCCGCATGCTAACCCCATCGCCACTCCTCGCCACTCCTCCATCCTCCGGGCGCATCCGGTCGCCTTCTCGCTCCTCCTCGCTGCTCCTCCTCCTCCTCCTCCGCGAGGAGGGGTGCC